ACTGCATTTCCCCATTATGTTTTCAACTGTTTTTATCTAACTCTTACCCGTACCATTTCGCTTTTGAAGCGGCTGTACCATTACAGAAACCGACTGTGAAATGTCATTCTCAAACTCACCTTGATGGGTTGGAATTTTAGAGTTTTGAACCATTAAGTAAATGCCTCATCAACATAATTCTACGTCCATTTCCCAAAGTTTGTCCGTTTCATATATGGCAACTGGCCCATTTCATAGAAACGAGAGGCAGCGCGAGGCTTATGATGGCGCAGACAGGGCGTGGCTTACTGAGCTATGCGTATAAAACGAGTCGCTGCTTGAAGATTTCATTCTGTTGCCTCGCACTCTCTGAGCAGCGAGCCTCCCAGTCGCGACTCCGTGACCAATCATGCCAAGCTTTCTCAAGGTAAGTACTCTGCGATGTAAGAGGTAAAATGATACAAGCAGGTTATTTCCAGCACCTCAAACTCGACGAGGCAGAGATGCCTTCGTGCGACCGGACTCCTCCACGGACGCCAAAAACGCCTTGTTCTCCTCTTGAGCTACATAATAACACCTTTTGCTTTAGAAAAGGTAGATTCTTTTGGGTGTAAAACCCTGTAAGGTTGTGTACAAGCGCATTTACTGAAGGACCGGACACCCCAGTGATTTACCAACCGGAGGGGCATCCACGTCAGGCAGTCATTGATGGTGATATCTGGCCGCCAATTTTTAAGCCTCAACACGTGCGGTGAGTTGACCTTCTGCTGCAGCTATGACTGGGGCTACGTCAGTAGAAGTACTAAAGAAAAGGAGGAATAGTTTCACCTGTAAAAATCTTCAGAAAAAAACCTTACGCAGCAGTTTGGAGACTTTCCAGTATCGTCTACAGTGCCATAAACATCGTGCAACAATTATATTTTGACATAAAACTCGTCTACAAAATAGCCTAATCGCTGTAGCCGGCGTGAGAAACATGCATTTATATGCATCTCCGTGCTAATTTCAAGCAAATTGGCACTCACAACATCATAATTGATGAGAAGTACCTGTAATCTAAACCTACCCAATTAATCCGTAAGTAGACTAACTACGGTAAGAAAGCATGCAATTTATTGCGGTTTCGATGTTGTCAAATTTGCTGACATGTTGTCAGTTGAACTGACTGATCTCACCGATTTGTCCCGTTACGATATAAATCCTCCAGACGACGAAAGCCTGTTCAGATCGGCAAAGAACATGCTCGTAGAGGACGACGATGTATTTATAGCCACCTATCCTAAATGTGGGACCACTTGGTTACAACACATTTGTCATCAGCTGATCCGTGGTGAAAACTACCAAGCTACGGAAGGAAATGGTGTGTTTTTGAGCAAATAATTCAATCCCTTAGAAGTCATGTTCTGCTTTCAGAGATGTGTGTTCAAAGCCCTATGATAGAGCGAATGGGAGCAAAGTTCTTGTCAAACATTGAACGACCACGCATTCTCAAAACACACTTTTCTGCTTACAATATCCCCAAAAATAACCATGCTAAATATATCTTCTGTGTAAGAAATCCGAAGGACTGCTGCACAAGGTGACCAAATTTTAACACCTTATGCCGAGTCTTTTACGTCTTTGTTTCAGTTATTTCCATCACAATCGCAACTTCAAAATCTACAATTTTGCGAATGGCGATTGGGAAACGTTTGTGGATTTGTTCCTCTCTGGTCAGCTCGCTTTCGGCGACTACTTCGATCACCTGCTGGGTTGGCTGCCGTTTATTGATCAACCTAATGTGCTCTTCTTGATGTATGAGGATATGCTAAAGGATCTCGAGGGAACAATCTATAAGGTATGTAGTTTTGAGCTTCGAAACAATGAGGCTATAATATTGGTGGATGTCGTACTTCGCAAGAATCAATAGCATCTGTCTAATTTCAGATAGGTATGTTCCTCGGCGGCGATGCAGAGAAGCTCGTGCAGAACTCAGAGCGCCTAGAAACCGTTGTACAAAACAGTGGCATAGAAGCCATGAAAAAGGATCAAAAACGCTGGTTTCCCGAAGCAATATTGTGAGTGTGAACTCT